CTACCTCCTCACAGTTTGTCAACACCTTGGAGGACGTCATCCAAACAAGGGGAGCAATGGACACGCTTATCTCCGACAGTGCAGCATTGGAAATATCAGACCGTGTCAAAGAACTTTTGCGTGCACTCTGCATCGATTCTTGGCAGAGCGAACGTAACTACCAACATCAAAACTTTGCGGAACACCGCTGGAAACACGCCAAATGCAACCTGCAGTGGATCATGAATCACCGCAACATGGACAGCAAAGCATGGCTACTGTGTCTGGAATGAGTCGGCGACGTCATGAACCTCACAGCGGAGAAATCCATCGGATGGAGAACACCACTGGAGGTACTCACTGGCCAGACACAAGATATCAGCATACTACTGTCGTTCATGTTCTGGGATGTTGTCTACGTACCACGGTACCACGGCAAACACTATTCCAACATGCCAGGGGAGCAAAAGTCCTCTGAAATACGAGGCCGCTTTGTTGGCTTCGCAAAACACTTTGGACATGCCCTTACCTTCAAGATACTCACGGACGATACACATCGCATCATCCATCGATCATGAGTCCGACTCGCAAAGGAAGGTGTGAACAACCTCAAACTCGATGTGGAAGCAGGTGCCGTTCCCGAACGCATCTACGTGAGCTCAAAACGAGACAATGATGGTGAAGACGCAAGACTTCCCACAATCGACATGAGCCAAAGTCCATTCGACATCCCAACGCCAACGGAAGAAGGGGAGCAAGAAGAAATTCCCCCCAATCCTCCATCGCCTATGGACCAACCTCCATTATCTCAACAACCGGAAGTGGAGATTGTCAATGAAGACGACGAAAACCTAGTGGATCATGTCAAGGACCGACGGCAACCAGGGGAGCCGAACCCTAATGACGACCCACTAGACCTCAAGTTCGACTTCATGCACACAGAGAACCCAACCGTTGAAGGACTTCCACCGGAAGAAATGTTGGACCGTACCTTCCTCATGCTTCCCGCAGAAGATGGCACTCGAGTCAGAGCCAAAATCATTGAGCGAGTCAACCAACACAAAGAACAAGTCCAACAACACCCGGACATGATACGCTTCAAGTGTCTCGTCAACGACGAGTACGAAGAAGTGGTTGCCTACAATGTGTCGTGGACTACATCGAACAGGACCAAACATGGGATGGGGTCTGGAAGTTCCGACAGATACTGGATCACCAAGGACCTTTACTCCCGTCTGACAAGAGATAGAAAGGATTGCGATACAACCTTCAAGTAGAGTGGGAGACAGGGGAGATCACCTGGGAACCTCTTACCAAGAAGGACAAAAGCGGTGTCTACGACTCAGACCCTGTTACGGTGGCCATCTACCCAGCAGAGAAAGGACTGCTCGATACACCAGGGTGGAAACTACCTGGACTCAAGAAACGAGCAAAGACCCAGAAATGAATCATCCGACTCGCCAACCAAGCGAAATTACACTTGTTCCGAACCAAACCCGTGTTCATGTACGGATTCCTCGTGCCACGCAACCATGAACAAGCTATGGAGCTCGATGCACTCAACGGCAACACCAAGTGGAAAGACGCCGAAGAGAAGGAGCTATCACAGATCGATGAGTATGAAACATTCCTGAACAAGGGGAGAGGATACAATCCTGGTCCCGACTGGAAGAAGATACGCGTACACATCATCTATGCTGTCAAGCACGATGGACGCCACAAGGCATGGCTCGTTGCTGGAGGACATCTCACGGACACACCTGTCGACTCTGTCTACTCCAGCGTGGTATCGCTACAAGGGATCAGACTCCTCACGTTCCTCACGGAATTGAATGGATGCGAAGTATGGGCAACAGATGTCGGAAACGCTTACCTTGTGTCATACACGAAGGAGAAAGTGTACGTGATCACAGGACCCGAATTTGGCGATCGCGAAGGATGCACGCTGATCATCTCGCGAGCACTGTATGGACTCAAGTCATCCAGACTACGATGGCATGAGCGCTTCGCGGACGTCCTACGTTCTATGGGATTCTTCCCGTCCAAAGCCGAACCCGACATCTGGATGCGAGACAAAGGAGATCACTACGAGTACATTGCTGTGTACGTCGATGACCTTTTGATCGTTAGCAAGACATCACAAGCCATCATCATTATCCTCGAGAAGACACACAAGTTCAAACTCAAGGGAACATGCCCTATTGAATTCCACCTCGGATGTGACTTCTTTCGTGATGATGATGGAGTGCTGTGCTATGCACCCTGAAAGTACATCGAGAAAGTACTCGGGAACTATCAACGAATCTTCGGACAAATGCCACGTCAGGTTCGTCACCACTGGTTAAGGGAGATCACCCAGAGATCGATACGTCAGAGCTACTGGACATTGAGAACCAGAAAATCTACCAGTCGCTCATCGGCAGCCTACAATGGGCGATCCAGATTGGACGCTTTGATATCAGAACTGCCGCGATGACACTGTCACGATTCCGCGCCGCACCACGGCAAGGACACCTTGACAGAGTCAAACGAATCTGTGGATACCTCTCTAAGATGCGCCATGGCATTGTACGCATCAGGAAGGAAGAACCTGACTATTCGGATGTACCCGAGAAGAAGCACGACTGAGAATACTCGTGCTACCACGGTGCCAAGGAGTTGATCCCTGACAATGCACCACAACCACGTGGCAAGCGAGTACAACTCACTGCCTACGTGGACGCGAACCTTTATCATGATCTGATTAGCGGACGTTCCGTCACCGGCGTCCTACACCTTGCGAACAAAACTCCCATTGACTGGTACACCAAATTACAGTCTACCGTGGAGACCGCCAAATTCGGTTCTGAATATGTCGCCGCAAGGACTGCTACAGAGCAGATCATCGATCTTCGCAATACCACGCGGTACCTCGGAGTGCCCATTGAGACGTCTACTATGATGTTTGGAGATAACGAGACAGTCGTCAACACTGCGTCAATGCCTCATTCCAGGATCTTGAAGCGACACAATGCACTCTCGTACCACAAGACACGGGAATCTATCGCTGCAAAAATTCTCCGTTTCCATCACATTCCAGGGGAGCATAACCCTGCCGATATCCTCAGCAAACACTGGGACTACTCATCGGTTTGGTCACAGCTCCAACCCTTATTGTTTTGGAAAGGAGATACTGCGAAGATCCTCCAGACTGAGAACAAAGAAGAGTCGAAGGTCGCCAACGAGGGGAGTGCTAACGAGGCGTTTTCTCCCACGACTCAGAAAACCAGTGACTCACCCCAGTCGAAGGTTAAGGGATAGAGTTCATGAGTACCGGAAGAGCGCGCATAGTCTGCGCAGCGTATTCCACACTGTGGTCCACGATGGATGCACCGTGGTCCCATTTAGCACTCATGTCTCGATCCTACCCGAGTCGAATAGGCGCCATGTTTGAACTAAAAAGCCGATGCCGGCTTGCGCCGTTCCGTTTCTATCAGTCCGAACCTTGACAACGAAACCCAATAGACTTGATAGATCGTAATGCTCATAATATTCTCTTTTACTGTTTGCCATTGCACATCTTCCAAAGGTCTAGTCGAAGCTAACCACGCTACGACGCCAACCCAAGGAAGGGAGATTATCACTTACGAAATAGGATTTCAGCATTGGGACTTGTTGGGACGCTTGGTGGAGCTTGAGGGGGTTCCTCTTCTTTTCCTATCTTGTCAGGATGTCTCTTCTGGACTATTTGCTACTCCTGTAGCTGCTCCTGCCTTAAACTTGGCTTGTTCCTATCTGCGCGTCGAAATCGTGGCTCTGTGTGGCTCACACAAAAAAGTTCCACCGTTTGACCTTCAGTGTACAACCGAACTCACTTCGGCCACTCGAAGGTCTTCTGCTGTTATAGATGTCGGTATTGTTGATATATATGGAGCTACTGGAGCAGTTTCATGGACTCAGAGTGGCTCTCGCGGAAGATTCAGTGCTTTGAGTTGCTGTGGGACTTGTTCTTCCCGATGCTTCAGCAGTTGCTAACTCGATCGGGGATATCTCGCTCAAAGCTATCGTTCAGTCTGTGTTACTGTACGGCAGTGAGACCTGGGTTGTGACTCCCACTGTGCTCCAGACATTAGAGGGTTTTCATCATCGCGTCGCCCGTCGCATTGCTGGCAAAATGCCATACAGAAAGCATGGTGACGAATGGGTGTACCCACCGATTGCTGGAGCGCTCAAAATGGCGGGACTGTATCCCATTGAAGAATACATTCGCCGTCGACAGAACACAATTGCTCAGTACATTAGCAACCGACCAATCTACGAGCTTTGCCAAGAAGCCACTCCCGTTCCAACCGAAGCACAGCACGAGTCGCCCCCACCAACATCCCGCAGCTACCGCTGGTGGACGCAACCATCCATGGTGCAACCACCTCCGGACCTAACACGTTATGACGACAACGATGATACTGATAGCATGGGAACGAGCTTGGCTCATCAGGATATGTCTCCGCCGGACTCCCCATCCAGCTTGCGGGCAGCCTCACCACCACATGCCCCTCCCCAACAACTCCACAAACCACTCACTCGAGTCCAAAGGGAACGCACCAGGGAGGCATGGGCTTCACCTGAGCTTGCCGCTGGCCGCTCCAACAACATCAGTCCACGGGCCTTTCACTCGCTTCGTGATGGTACATGGCTTCAAGATGAAGCCATCCATAGATTCCTGTGACTCCTCGTTGCGCGGGACGCTTTCCAAGCCTCTCTCATTGACGCTCACCGACCCAGCTTTGTTTTCACGTCCTTTTTCATGACTCAGCTGCTGAACATGGGTGACCTTGATCCAACCGTTCACGGCAGCTACAGCTACTCCAACATTCAAAGGTGGTCCCGACGAGTCCTGGGTCAAGACGTCTTTGCACTCAACAAACTTTTTCTCCCAGTAAATGTCAACCGAGGCCACTGGATGGTGATCGTTGCCTTCATGCAGGAACAACAAATTCAAGCCTATGATTCTGCAGGAGCCACCAACACACTGTTTCTCCAAGCTACCCTTCGATACCTCGCCGATGAGCATCAACGAGTGCACAATCGTGCCCTCCCCGTCCGAGATTGGTCCCTTTGTGAATCTACCCCTGCAACTCCTACACAACTCAACGGCTACGACTGCGGCGTCTTCACTTGTGCTTTCATTGACTGCCTCCTGCGCATGACACTCCAACCTTTTCTCAAGAGGACATGACCCAGTACCGCCGATCGATCACTCTGTCCCTTCTTGAGAACCAACTACCCATCGGGTAGCTGCCCTGAGCACCATTTCATTTGCTCGTATCAACTCACACATGTCTTTCATCCTTGGCTCCCAGCCCCGACTGGGAGGGCACTACGAGCTTCTCTGTCAACTAAGGAGAGGAGCCATAGAGTAGTGCAGTAGTAACTTATTCTAATCTAGCAATTCCTAGGTGCTGGGAGGATAGGGGAGCTCTGCTTGCATCTCGTGTTACCCGACCCCTCACAGCACCGGTGGAGATTAACAAACAAACATATCTCGCTCAATTTTCGGAGTTGTTGGCTGCCGCTAATGGTCGCATGTACTCCTCTTTGTGCTCGCAAAGGTTTGCTATGGTAGCCTGGTCGTACGCTTGTTGCTTCGGTCGTCGTGTGCGATCGTGTTGATCGGCTTTTGCTCAGTAGGTGGGCACCTGATTCACTCGAATGATCGTTACTCCTCGAATATAGCTCCGATGACCTTGCTTCAATTATATTATATAAAAAGTACTAGTTTTAGGCAGACTACCTATCTGGTCCGGAGGACCTTTGTCAACGCTGGTACGAATCGAGCCCGAGGGCCCAAGCAACTGAGTCGTTTATGTGGGTGTTCGCACGACACGACCAAGGCGACACCACTCCACCAACACCGCCAGATTGCCACCTCCATCCGCCCAGCCATCGCCGACCAAACAACCTTGGCTGGTGGAACTTGTTACTTGGCAGGGTCTCCCAATCCTTTAACACATCCAAACACACACCTGCAAGACTCAAGAAGAACGGAGATGGCTGGCCTGGACCAGCGCCTTCTCAAACAGATCTGGAGCCTACACTTCAACCTGGCAACCGAAAGAAGCGTCCATGGCACTACCCTCACTCAATATACCCCCCCCCAACTGGACACTCTACGCGAACGGTTCGACAACAGTACACCAAGGCACCATAGGCCTCCTCCCCGTCGACACTGGAGAGTCCACCCGGACACCAAACCCACACCCTTACATTCACTATCGAACAGACAAAACGATGGCTTGAATCTACCTCCCTGGCCCGAACAGAGTTCAGAAGCAACTTGCTCAGCGAATCGACAGCTCCAAAGGCAACAGCAAATGATGATCACACATTTAGTCTTAATCCGGATAAGGCCACTGCGCCCCCGGTCAATCCACGAGGAGGCATTTCCTGTGGTAGCGGAGAAACAAAGACCTGTCCCTCTCGTTGGGGACGGAGGTGAAAGACGAGCATAGACTAGTTAGCTAGTTACCATCGTGCTTCTATGGGGTTGATGAAACTGATGCTATCCCCCTCGTTGTCGTAACAATAAGGCAATAGAACGCAAACAGCATCGAGTAAACGGGCACTCACCTTCGCGTGGAAAAGTGGACAGTCGAGG